TGCATCCATAGGTGTAGGTCATGTTCATCAAATTATATCAGATTACTCTTTTGTTCCTCTTCTTCTAGTTGAGCTCTGATCACCCAGTCATTGAAGCTAGGTCAATTGGGTATTATCTGCAAGTGTGGGTGTTCTTATGCATATGCCCTCTCTTCTTATCAGCTGGACGCTTCACTCTCCACTCTAGTCCTCTGTGGTTATGTCACTGACGCTGGGCTAAAGAGTCCTCAGGTCTTGCCACACTGCTGGCCAACCAGGTCTCCACCCGGATTCACAGGAGTCTTTTGAACATTGTAGGGCTTAGCTCGCCGCTTCATTGCTGTTTTTCCCTCACTTACCCTTATTAGTGATGAATGTGGTCACCAATTAGAGCATGTATTCCCATTGAGTCTTAGTCTTGGAAGGGGGTTTGCCCTGAGGGGACCCAACCACTTGCCTTGATGTGTCCTGGGCGAACAACTTGCTTATTCTTGTAGTAACCAGTTGGATTCTCAGTCATTCTTATGACTGCATCTAGCTAGTGTCCTTGTGTGTTTTTATGACAATGTTGTTGTTAAGTGCCATCGAGTCAGTTCCAATCCAATATGACCCTGTATAGGGTTTCCAAGGAAACGCTGGTGAGTTTGAACCACCGACCTTGCAGTTCAAACCAACTTTGTGGTCCAGTGCATTAACCCACAGCGCCACACCAGGACTCCTTTATGACATAAAGAGCGTGATTAGTAAACCACCACGAGTCCTCGTGGTGCAGTGCTTAAGTGCTCAGCTGCTAACCAATTTGTTGGCAGTTCAAACCTACTCGGCAGCTCCATGGGAAAAGGACTTGGCAAACTGTTCACATAAAAATTACAGCCAAGAAAATCCAATGGGTCAGTGTTAATTTGTCACATGGGTTCGACTTGATAAGCACCCAACAACATTAGTAAATGAATGAGTCCAGTAAACACCCTGCCATTGCGTGATTCTGATTCTTAGCAACTGCACATTTTGACAGAATAGAGTTATTCTAGAGGATTTCTAAGACTGTGAATCTTTACAAGAGCAGAAAGTCTCATCTTTCTCCCAGGGAGTGGCTGGTAGGTTTGAATTCCCAGCCAACCAGATAACAACCCAACGCATAGTCCACTGTGCTTTCAGGGCTCTTGCTGAATGCCTTCAAGTTGGTCCTGACTCATAGCAAATCCTGTATAGGGTTTCCGAGGAGCAACTGATGAATTTGA